GGGTCAGAACCAGTTCTTGCCCCGTACTGTGAAGCCAGAAGCCCCCAGGTCATGAAGGGATTTTGTGCCCAAAACAAGCTTTTTTTTTTTTTTTTGTGAGGAAGACCAGCCCTGAGCTAACATCGGATGCCAATCCTCCTCTTTTTTGCAGAGGAAGACTGGCCCTGGGCTAACATCCATGCCCATCTTCCTCTAGTTTATATGGGACACCGCCACAGCATGGCTTGACAAACAGTGTGTCAGTGCGCACCCAGGATCTGAACCGGCAAACCCCGGGCCGCCAAAGCAGAGCGCACGCACTTAACCGCTTGCGCCACTGGGCTGGCCCCTAAAACAAGCATTTCTAAATCCAGGTGTGGGGCCGGCCCCGTGGCTTAGCGGTTAAGTGCGTGCGCTCCGCTACTGGCGGCCCGGGTTCGGATCCCAGGCACACACCGACGCACTGCTTCTCCGGCCATGCTGAGGCCGTGTCCCACATACAGCAACTAGAAGGATGTGCAACTATGACATACAGCTATCTACTGGGGCTTTGGGGGAAGAAAAAGGAGGATGATTGGCAATAGATGTTAGCTCAGAGCCAGTCTTCCTCAGCAAAAAAATAAAAAAAGGAGGAGGATTGGCATGGATGGTTAGCTCAGGGCTGATCTTCCTTTGAAAAAAAAAAAAGAAAAAAAAAAAGAAATCCAGGTTTGGACAACTTAGAATATGTGTTCTCAGAGAAGATCAAGTTTATATGTTGGCCCAGTCCCTAGGCTAATCTACCAATAACCGTCTTTTAAAATATTTTTTTCCTTCAATTATGAAAGTATAAGTTATGGTAGAAAATTTGGAAAATACAAAATCATTTAACAAAGAAAATGTGAACTCTTTTATATTCCTTAAATGTAGCAGTCAGAACTGACAATAACATCCTAATTTATAATAATAGCAATAACAGCTACATGCTCTTCAATGTGCTAGACAGAGGCTCTAAGCAGTTTCTCTTTGCTTTTCTTGAATTTCACATGAAGTTAAAGGTCTCCCGTCCTAGCTAATGATCACTTGCTTGTCTTCTTCCTGGAATTCCCAGCTTTTGAGCTTTGCCAGCAAACAGCTATTCGGTCCACAGTGTGGCTGATGTGCAGGATGGACCCAGGCCACATTCTGACAAAGTGAAAGAAAGCACGTGGGAGGCCCACCCGTAGCCCCCACACCATCACAGCTTTTCCCATGCCCCGTTCCCTTCCACATCCCCCTGGGCAACCTGCTTTCAACCCAACCTTCCATCGTAAGCAGTTGTCCTTCTGGCTGTTAGTCACTCAGCTAGCCATTTCTGCTGCCTAATTGTGTGTGTTCTCAAAGCACTTTCAGCTGGGGGTGAGGGCACAACCCAGGAGGCAAGGTGGCGTGAGTACATCAGTGTCCCACCTCCCTTTGGCCACACCGCCTTCTCCAGCCACCCCCGACTGTGCTTTATTTCCTTCTCCTGCAGCAGCTCACTTAGTCCTCATGACACCCACTGTTACAGCCATTTTCAGATGAGGCTGGAGGCTCAGAGAGGTTGCGGAACCTCTCAGTCACACAGCACAGCCAGCCCATGCTGCAGGCGGGACCCACACGGGGACCTCTGGCTCCTGACCACCAGGCTGCACACCCTCCTTGTGCCCGCTCCCCTGCCCTGCTCAGAGCTGGAAGCATGCGTTTTTGCTGGGCCTTGTGACAGACAAGTACTGGCTGTGAAACGGTGCTTCCCGAACATCTCCACTTCCTCCGCTCCTGTCCCCGCAGCTGATGCCGCTGCTGACGCTTCGGCACGCCCACATCTCCACATACCAGGAGCTGTTCATCGTGTGGAAGAGCGAGGTGGGTCAGAGCCGACACCCACGGGCTCAGCTGGCATTTGGTGGCTGCAGGAACAAGTGAACTGAGCACAGGGCACCCTACACCATCGTAACCCCTCGAGTGGCAATGGCAGTGACTCTAAATGTGGCTACCCCCGACTCAACTCTTACTAGGGCCACGTGGGGAGCTCTCTGGGCATCATCTCTGTGAGCCCGCGACAGCCTCGGTGCAGGCAGGGTTACTATCCCACTTTATGGAAGAAGAAATAGAGGCTGAGAGAAACAAGTTGCTCCCAGTTACCACCCAGTACGTGGCCCAGCCAGGAGGCGAGGCCAGGTGGGCCTGACTCCAGTGCCCTGTGTGTTCAGCTACTGAGCTTGTCCTGCAGCCAAAGGCTCAGTGAGTCTGCGCCTCTGACGGTGGAGTTCTGCCTTTCACGGAAGGAACAGGCGTCAGGAAGCTGGTGCCCTGCTTTCCCCGCTCACGTGGCATCAGCTTGTCCCGGCCTCTGGATCCCTGACTTCTGTAGCTCCTTCCTAGCTTACTAACTAGCTGCACATTCATCTTCAGATCCTAGGAGATCTGCAGGGAGGGAAGTCCTGTCCTCATTTCCCTGGGGCTCAGAGAGGGTAAGGAGCTCTCCAAGGCCACACAGCTAGTAACAGCTGGGTGGGATTCAAATCCAGGTCTTCGTACCATAGGCTATATGACTTCTTGTCTTTGTAACGAGCCAGTAGCCTTCAAATTGCTCCAGATGGGACTGAGGTGGAGGGGAGACACGGAGCCAGGGATGGGGTGGGGCTGGGGGTGAAGGGAGGCTGCAAAGCCTCTTGCCGAGGGTCAGACAGTAATCAGATCTCCACATTAGTGTCCCCATCTGGGAGTGACAGCCACGGGTTTGAGCAGGAGTGGGGGTTCCCTTCACACACATTCCGTCCCTTTCAGCTGGGCCCCGAGGAAAGCCTTGGGGAGAGGCCGTCATCACATGCACCCCCAAATATTGTATAAGCACCCCCTAATGCTCTCAAGGAGACACAGAAAAGGCAAGAGAGCATTTCACTGTGGGAGAGAAGGCAGGGTCCTCTGAGAGCCCTGAGCCGAGGCCCCTGACCTGGTCTGCTGGGGTCCCCTTCGGGGCAGGCTCCTCAGAGGGAGGAAGTGGATCCTGGCTGAGCCCTAAAGAACGAATAGTCACCCCGTGAAGGGGCAGGGTCCCAGGCTCGGATCTGCATGTGCAGTGGCCGGGACACCAGTGCAGCTTTCAGAAAAGTCCATGTGGCTTAGTGTAGATGGAACTGGGGGTAGGGGTGGGGAGAGGAGGCCGGAGACGGGAGCAGGAGCTGCCCATGAGGGGCTCGTACTCCCGCCCCCCTCCCCAGACGGTGCCCCTGTAGCCACTGTGGATGGTGGCCCAGCGGAGGGAGGCCGTGGAGCAGATGACCACGCAGAAGCACCCAGGCCTGGGCTTCTGGGGGCCCAAGCCGAGGCACCTGGCTAAGGGGCCTCATGTGCCCAGCAGGTCTCCTCTATGTTCCTCTGCCTGGTGATGGAGTACAACAAGGAGAGCTTCCAGGAGGTCATTGAGAAGAAGAGGGAGGCAAGGACCATCATTGACTCTGAGGTAACACAGACCCTCTAGGACACCAGGCCTGGGGGCCACCTGGACCTTGTGATGTCACAGGCCCCACAGGGTGGGAGAGAGCAAAGGGGCGGGGGAGTCTGGCCTTATTTTCTCCTGAGGTTTATGCATAGAGGTGTTTGCACACTGAAGTGTGCACAGATGCGACGTGGACAGCTGGGTGCATTGCACAGAGGCACACACTCACATAGCCTCCCCCAGACCAAGAAGCAGGACACTCCCGGAACTCCAGACGCTCCCAGTCGGCACCCACGGCTCGACTTCTGCCCGTCCCTGAAGCTCACGTAAATGCACTCACACAGCACGCCATTGTTTGCGTCTGCTTTCTTGTGATCATCCTGGTGCTTCTGAGATTCAGCCACGCGTTGAGTGTATCAGGAAATGGCCCCTCCCCACGGCTAGGTGCTGCTCCATCGTGCGGCCACGCCGCGGTCTGTGTGTCTCATCTAGCTGGGGGAGCGCTTGGGCTGTCTCTGGATTGGGGCTGTGAGGAGGAAGGTGGCCGTCAACAGTGCTGGATGTGTTTTTGGGTGGACCTCAACACTCACTTTTCCTGGATAAACACCAGCCATGGAAGTGTGGGGCTGGGGCGTAGGTGTTGGTGAAGCCTTAGCAGATTCTGCACCCCACTTGCCAAGGCGGTTGGTGACCCAGTTTCCTCTCACCGCAGGCTGTGAGGGTTCCGGCTCTACGTCCTGGCCCACTCTTCAGCCTGTCGATCTTTTTACTTTTAATAAAAAATTACATTTTAATTTCAGTTATTGTGAGTAATCACGGTGAGCACTTTCTGGCTATTTGGGTATCTTCTTTTGTGCCTGTTCAAGTCTTTTGCCTGTTTAAACGTTGGGGTTGTTTGTCTTTTCTTATTGATTGTATGAGTTCTTTATAAATCCCGGATGGGGGTATCCAGAGTCTTCTCCCAGTCCATGGCTGCCAATTCACTTTCTTCATGATGTCTTTGGATGAACAGAAGTTCTGAGTTGCATGGAGTACCTCTTTTATGGTTAGCGCCTTGTGAGTCCTATCTGAGATTTTCCTCTGTTGTCTTCTGAGCTTGGTCACTTCACCTTCACATTTAGGTCTACGATCCACCTCAAATGAATTTGCCTGCTTTTGCTCTGAGAACTCCTCTGCTTGGCGGGTGACGGGCACCACCTCCCTGCTGAGGGGTTCTGAGGGGCACACAGCTCCTCTCCCAACGTGGGCCTCAGAGGCAGGCTCTGGAGTGGGTTTCAAACTTTGTTAGTGGTAGAACCCTTTTAAGCACAAAATGTTCTCAGAAACCCAGTAAATAAAGCAGAGCTACTGTAATCGGGGGCCAGGGGGCTGGTGGAAGGCTGAATGGGAGGAAGCCCAGGGTCCTGCCTGCTCAGCCCCTCTCTGACACCCCAGGATGGAATCCAGGGTTCCTAGGAACACAGTTTGAAAATCACTGTCCTGGAAACCAGATAGATCTTGTTTCTGACACAAATGCTTCTAGAACATTCTCGGGGCTCCTTTCATTCTAATGACGTAGAGAGGCAAGCCCCAAGTAGGCATGGAAGACTTCAACCTCTCTGAAACCCACAAGGCCCATAGGCCACAAGGGGTGGGGCGTGGGGCTGGAGCCCCACGGCACCCTGGGTCTGCAGTGTGGAGACAGGAGTGCCAGGTGGAAATGAAGACGCTGCCCTGCTGACATGGTTTTACTGTCTGGAGAGCTGCACATGCTCCAGCCTCGAAGGAGCCTAAAGCAGAAACCTCTTGCCCTGGCTCTGAGCTTTTGGCTAGCTTCAGGCCCGTCTCAAAATGCAAGGAGAGGATAGGCCGTGATTCCACTGGCTGCGTTGAGTGGTCAGTGACCTGACCCACACTGAGCTGCAGGGAGCCCCACTGCTGGAGCTTTTGGGCCCCTTCCAATCGTGCCATCTCTCGTTTTTTTCCCCAGTGGATGCAGAACATGCTGGGCCAAGTGTTGGATGCTTTGGAATACCTGCATCAGTTGGACATCATCCACAGGTAACCCAGGTGGCCAGGCTGCTTCAGGAGAAAAGGCACCAAGTCCCCTTGGGTGTCAGTGCCTGTGGGAAGGATCGAGGGAGGGAGGCGTGACTGGGGTCTGTGCAGCCAGGATAAGGGTGCACCTTTCCCGAAGCCCCCTAGGCTTACAGAGAATGTCACCCCCTCCACATAACCTCCAGTGACTCACCCTCACCACGCAGCTTCTTCAGAAAGCTGAGCTGACCCGGCGGGTTGGTTCTAAAGTGCAAGGAAAGAAGCCAGATAGCACTCCGAGGACACGAGGTTAAGCTGCCTGCCACGCCCTCCGGCCAGGCCAGCGCGGGCTGCAGCTCCCAGTCTGCGCTTTCGACCTGCCAGCAGTACAGCTTCCCGCTCTGGGACCCATGGTCTGAGCGGCTGGGAATGGTTAAGTGTTGTGTTTAAAGGGGGAGAGAGAAACCATGTGCACCACGTGTATGAAGGAAATGCTCATAATTCAGTGTTAATGTCACTGGACATTACAAAATGGTCAAAAACCAATCCCCAAACAAATAAATGCGTAGCTAGGATCTGGAAGAGGGCGAACAGGATGTTAGCAGAGGGACTGCAGAAGGATTGGGTAGTTTCCTACTTGTATTGGCTTGTTTTTTCCGATTTAAAATAACTGAGTATATTTTATGTTTATAGAAAACAATATTTTAAAAGTGGGCTGCGCAGGGGGCGTTTATTGAGGAGAGAGGGTTGTGAGCTGCTGCTGTGGAGCTGGGCAGGGTGAGGAGGTGAGAGTAAGGTTCAAGGCACATGCTGGCCCAGCCGCTGGGAAGACGTGGCTCCTGCCCCGGGAGCGTTATCCACGGTGGCCCCGCTGGCGATGGGTGGAAAGGCGTGCCTCTTGTTTCAGGAACCTCAAGCCCTCCAACATCATCCTTGTCAGCAGCAACCACTGCAAACTGCAGGACCTGAGCTGCAATGCGCTGATGACCCATGAAGCCAAGTGGAACATCCGCGCAGAGGAAGGTGGCTGGGGAGCAGTGGGGGACGGGCTGTTTACCAGAGGGGTCACTCTTAGAGTCCAGAGGGCAGTGGCCAGTGCTGAAACATGGCAACATCAAACCTCTCCTTGCTCAGAAGATCCCCACAGACCTCCCTGGGCTTATGTGGGCACCAAAGAGACCCCCTTGCCTGGGTTGTAACTGAACAGGTGTACCACCATGGGGGTGCATGCAGGGTCCAGAGAACACCGAGAAAATGTCAACCTTCATGGAGGGCAAAGAAAGGCCTCAGAAGGAAGGAAACTTCCTTGTAGTGGGGACATGTAGGGACAGAGTACTGTTGGATGCCAGGCACTGGCTACAGTTGGATTACTTTACTGAGTCCTAAAATAGCCCAGGAGATGGTGGAGCTGGGAGCAAGGGGAGAGGAGTTCTCCTGTCTTTGAAAAGACAATGGGGCAAAGGGAGCTGGGCTTTAAACCTATCACAGTTGTCAGGGGTGGAGAGGGTGACTGCAGTGGAGAGCTCCAGAGGCCTAGGGTGGCAGATACTGGTGGCACTCTGTCCTTGGTGCAGGGGATATGTGGATGGGAGGATGGATGGATGGATGGATGGATGGATGGGTAGGTGGGTGGATGGGTAGGTGGGTGGGTGGAAAGATGGATGGATGGGTGGTTGGGTGGATGGGTAGGTAGATGGATGGGTAGGTGGATGAGTGGATGGATGGACATATGGATGGATGGGTGGGTGAGTGGGTGAATGGGTGTATCTACTAGAGGTGTAGGTGGCAGGGGTCCTTGAAGTCCATCCCTTTGCTGTTTGGCTGGGGAATGGAGGTTGGGTGGGGGTGCTTCCTGAGGCCTATCAGGGACTGACATTGCTGGATTGAGGACCCTGCTCTTTTGGCTTCTTATCTGGGGTTCAGGTTTAGAAACTAGGGCAGGGCAGGGGCCAGCCCCGTGGCGTAGCGGTTAAGTGCACTCGCTCCGCTGCTGGTGGCCCGGGTTCGGATCCCGGGCGCACACCGACTCACCGCTTGTCAGGCCATGCTGTGGCGGCGTCCCATATAAAGTGGAGGAAGATGGGCATGGATGTCAGCCCACGGCCAATCTTTCTCAGCAAAAAGAAGAGGAGGATTGGCATCAGATGTTAGCTCAGGGCTGATCTTGCTCACACACACACACACAAAAAAAGAAACTAGGGCAGGGCAACTTGAACTTTGCTTCAAAGTCCTGACATTTAGAGGGGGCAGGATGTTTAAAGAGGGTGCATGTTTTAGCCTCCTTGGCACATGCCTCTTCCAACTACTTCTGCAGCCACTGTGGGCACAGAGACCCGCACACATACGAGCCGGCCTGGTGGGCACCTGCTGAGATGGGCCGCCTCACTGGCTGAAGATCAAGGGTCAGGATCTCGCTGACCAGGGCCTCTTCCTGTCCCTCTATGGATAGCACGTCCCCACCTCCCTGAGGAGGGGGTGAAGGGCTCATACTGTAAGCTGCTTGCTTCCCCAGGGAGCATAGGACTCACACCCCCCCCACCTTCTCCTGCCAACAGACCCCTTTCACAAGTCCTGGATGGCCCCTGAAGCCCTCAACTTCTCCTTCAGCCAGAAATCCGACATCTGGTCCCTGGGCTGCATCATTCTCGACATGACCAGCTGCTCCTTCATGGATGTGAGCTGCTTTCCCCCCACCCCTACCCGCCACACCCCACACCCCACTCTCCACGTCCCCAGGGGGCCAGGCCCTGCCCACCTCGGCCCCGAAAGGGGCACACTCTTCCCATCTGCCTCCTCCTGCCCTTGTTCTGTGTCTCTGCGGGGCTGTGCAGAGCTCCCCGCCCCAGCTGCTGGAGGACCCCTCACTCAGCACCTGGCCCTGCTGTGCCCTAGCGTGGTGAGGCTGGTGAGGGCAGTATTGAAACCAGCCCACGTGTCTAACCGTCACCACAGCCCTCAGGAGTCGTCACTGCCCCTTATGGATGAGGAAACCTGAGGTCAGGTGCACTAACTGGCCCACGGTGGGATTGGGACTGTGCTCCGTCCCTGTTTGAGTAAGGATGCATTGAGCTGCAGGCAATGGGAAGCTGGACTGATGGGGGCCTGGTGCGCAGGCGCCGTCTCTGTGCCTGCACTTCCCTCGCGTGGGGCCTTGGCTCTCAGCGCTGCTGGAGGCTCCTGCACCAGGGACTCTGCCTGTGGGCAGGAGGGAGAAGGGAAGAGCAAAGGACCATGCTGGTCCCTCCATGGGTCCCTAGTCCCCTGGCTGCAGGGAGGCTGGGAAGTTGAGCCTCATGGCTTCAGATCTTCTACATACAGAAGAGAAAGCAGGGAGAAGCGAGAAGGCCAGGCCTCCGTGCTTGCCACGCCCAAGAGCAGGAAGCTCCCCTGCCTCCCAGCGCCATGTGCAAGGACCCAGGTCCGCCTGGGGGGCCCCAGCACTCCCCACTCTCTCCCAGACCCCCAGACTCTTACCGGCTGGGTCTGGATCAGAGATAAGCACCGTGGCCTTCTTGACATGACTGTAGAGGGAGGGTTATCCCTCACTCCCTCTGCCCAGCGAGAGGGCCTGCTGCTCCCTTCTCTCTGAACCTCCATTTCTTCCTCATGGAAACACTCTGGGCTCGGGTGGTCTCTGGGCATTCCTGAGGGCGGCGGCCACATCTTCTCACCTCTAGCCCCCTCGCCGCTCTCCCCGGTGCCCGGCACAGCCTCCACCCAGGTCAGGGCTGTTTTCATTTAGTTGAGGAAACGCATGACGCAGCGTTCTCTATCTCCTCTTAGAAAACAGAAGCCGTGCTTCTGCGCAAGTCCATCCGGAATCTCCCAGATGGCCTGAGGGGCGTCCTGACGACCATGGAGGAGAGGAAGGTCCCCAACGTGACAACCTTCTCTTCCCTCTTGCCTTTGATGCTCCAGATCGACCCCTCAGAGCGAATAACAGTCAGGTGAGTGCAGGGTCTGGGGTTGAACTTACTCTCTCAGTTCATTTGCCAACATCTTTCCGCTTTAATATCTTCGCAGCCACTTGGTGCTTTAATGGCACAGAGTACCCCATCACACCCACCCTGACTCCCCCGTGGAACACTGGGCTTTTCCAAGTTTGGGTCTCCCAAACTGCAGCAACGAAGGATCTTGAATGCACATCTTAGAGCTCTGGAGCCAACAGGGCCCACTTCTCCATCAGACACAGGAGGCATGGCCCTGAGGACCAGGAAAATGTTTTAATTCTAATTTATCTTAAAATCAGAAGAACAAGTGAAGATATAACAATGAATCCAGCCTGGGTTATAGTCACCTTTATACCAACACGGTTATAAAATCTGATTTCTTTTGTATTTTTATGGAGAAAGGGGCCCACACAGGCCAAAGTGCCAGAGCCCAGCACCGTCCCCCCTCAGCCCCAGGAGTAAGCCCAGTGACCCTCCTGGAAGTGGAATTGTTGGGGCACCAGCTGGACATGCTTGTGACATTGTGACACGTGCTGCCGGACAGATTCTAAACAAGAAGGTGGAGGTCCAGCGTCTGCCCGCTGGGGGCCGCCCTGAGCCCTTCAGAGGGAGGCCGCAAGGTGAGTGCCACTGCTCTCTCTGCTCCCCTCCAGGGATGTGATACACATCACCTTCATGAGCAGCGATTTCAGGTCCTCGAACATCGCCCTGACACTGCACCAGCAGGTGGTGCCTGCATCCATCACTGACATGCTGTTAGAAGGCACTGTGGCCAGCATTTTAGGTGATGATGAGGACCCCAGGGGGGGAGGGCACCATGGGGCTGCTGTGGCCTTGGCATCCCATTGTCTCTTAGCTCCGGAGGGCCAGTGCCTCCCCCACCACCCAGTCCTCTGGACTCCTCCTCCTGCATGGCTGGTGGGCAGGAAGTCTTCTGGGCTCGCCCTCCATCCATCCCCAGCAGAGGCTCAGGGTGCTGCCCCACTCAGACACCCCCCCAGCTCCCGTTACCTCTAGCAGAGTTCATTTCCATGGCCTGGCCTCCACCTGCTTCCCTCTGTTCCACAGTCCTCGATTATTGAACAGCCCCTCACTGCCACGCCCCTTGGAACTCCCTGCTTTTTGCTTCCACACCCTGGCACAGTGGCCCCGAAGCCCGGAGTGTCTTCCCCACTCGGCAGCACTTCCTGTGTGGTTACTACGTGCTGGACATGGGATGGGTACAGCAGTGACCCTGGAATGCAGGCGCATCCCTAAAGGGAGAAGTGGCACAGGGGCTCCTTCTGCTTTTGATACCCGCGGGCCTCAGGCAAGGGTGCCACTGGTCGCCTGGCGCAGTGCTTGCTCGTCACGCAGCACCCCAGGTGCGTGTGCTAGTCTCTACCATGTGCTCCAGGCTGGGGGCACTTTGGGGCTCCCAGCATAGTGGGAACCCCATAGTGGAACACAGTAGCTATGCCCAAGGTCTAGAGGTCATCTTCAAGTTCGAGCGTAGCTCCACCCTCCCATCCCTCTGTGTTCCTGGTGTGTAGGTGGGCCGCTTACTCCCTCCTCCCCCTCCATGGCTCCCTGCACCGCTGCTTATGACAAGGGACCCCCGCCCTGTCTGCTGCCTCTGCCCCATTTATGGGGAAGGGGTGCAGGAGGGTCTAAAGGCAGGAAGGGACACCCACGAGGCTCTAGCCGCTCGGTTTCCCCACGTCTCATGGTCATGGGCTTTGGAGGCAGACAGCTGGGTCCAATGGAAGCCCATCACCCACTCTGAGCCTCCGTTTCCTTATCTAAAGTAGGGATCACGACAGAACCCAGTCCAGGGGCTGCTGTGAGGATTCAGGATGATAAGGCTTGTGAGGTACCTGTACGGTGCCAGCCAGGCAGGGCTGGAGGAGGGGTCCGAGTCAGCGGTAGGATGAGGGGTCCGCACCACACATGGCTGGAGACTCAGCTCCTTTCTGGGGGTCATTTGTTCTGAATCAATGGCTGAGAAGCCTGCCAGGAGGCCCAGAGGAGCAGTGGAAAGGGCCCTGGGCAGGGGGTTAGGGGAGAGCTCCGGCCCTGTCGACCCCCGAGTGAGGCGTAGAGCAGCGGTGCACGCCTGGGTGGGCTCCAGACGGGCTTGGGGTTGACTTGGGACACGTTGCTCAGCCTGGAAAGTGGGGATGAAGAGAGCGTCGCCTCATGCCCGGTGCCGTGGATCTATGAGGCGTGCATGTCAAGCAGCCAGGCCAGCGAGGGGCCCACAGACGCCCTGGCCCTCAGGAGGGTCCCTGAGCTGGCCAGGGCTCGGGGGAACGCACGGCAGGCGCCTCTGCATGCTTTCCTCTGTTCCCTCAGAGGTCATGCAGAACTTCTCCAGCCGACCTGAAGTCCAGCTCAGAGCCATGACCAGGCTCCTGAGAATGCCGGACGCTGAGCTAGGTAGAGATCCCCCCCCCCCCCCAGTCCTCCCTTTGGGGGCACCCTGGTCTGTTCTTTTACACCCCTGAGGCCCATTTATAGTCCTGTCAGGGGTCCTTGTGTTCATGACCCGCTTGGAACAGGCGGCTCCAGTTCTTCCTGTTGTCACTTTTACTGAGCAGAGCGGGGGGATGGGGTGGCTTGGTACCCAAACCCTTCCTAGTGGGCTCCCTTCACATGATGTTAATGGATGCTGAATAAGACATCCCGTCTCTCCCACCAGCCCTATGATGGGTATGTGAGCTGTTGCTCATTTGCTGGTGTTACAAACAATACTCTACTGAACACCCTGGAGCATACGTATGTGTGCGCTTGTGTGAGTGTTTCTGTAGGATAAATTCATAGATGTTCAGGGTGTGAGTACTTCATGTTGTCATGGATACTGCAAATTGCCCTCCACAGATACACCAACTTACCCACCTATCAAGAGTGCATGCAATGGGGGCCGGCCTGGTGGCGCAAACGGTTAAGTGCGTGCGCTCTGCCGCGGCGGCCCGGGGTTCACGGGTTCGGATCCCGGACGCACACCGACACACCGCTTGTCAAGCCATGCTGTGGCAGCGTCCCATATAAAGTAGAGGAAGATGAGGCACGGATGTTAGCCCAGGGCCGGTCTTCCTCAGCAAAAAGAGGAGGATTGGCAGATGTTAGCTCAGGGCCGATCTCCCTCACAAAAAAAAAAAGAAAAAACAGTGCACGCAAGCACCTCTTCCCCCAGCACTCTCCATCAATGAGTATTAAGCATCTTTTTAACTCTGCCAGAACATGGCTTCATAAAATCTCTCCACTCAACCTCTATCTCGCCAGCCTGAATATTGCATTCACTCACTCATCCATCCATCCACCCACTCAACCATCCCTCTGTCCACTCATCCATCAACCCGTCTCTCTCTCCATCTCTCCATCTTCCATCTTTCCACAAAAGGTCTGTCCCAGTGGCTGGGGCATCAGAGATTAGAGACACCCAGTCCCAGCCCTCCACTGAGGCAGCAGAGACCTCATATTGGCCTTTGCCTTTCCTTCCCTCTCCTCCTTGCTCTTGACCCCTTCTGGAGCTAGGCTGTGGCCAGGATAGAGTCCATGGGAAGGGAGATTTTGCCTTCCTGGAGAAACTATGGGAGGCTGCTGGGCCCCTTCCCAAGGATGGCCTTTTCTACCACCCAGAGCCATGCCTGCCTCAAACAGCCTTGTGTGGAGATGGGCTAGGCGTGGCTTGGCCTTCTGGGTGTCAGCACTCTTGTCCTTGTCATTCTCAAGCCCGAGATGGAGGGACTGCTATCTGCACTCTTCCAATGAGGAAACAGGCTGGTAGAGGCAAAGCAGCAGTGGGGAAGGGGCACAGCTGGGACTGGCTGCCCACCTCTGTCTCTCACCCCCTCCCCAGCGCACAGCACAGGCCTGGAGGAAAGACGATGGGACCCATAGATGTCCACTCTAAGGCAGTCACGGCCAAGGGCTCCGGAGTCAGACAGGCTCGGTTCAAAGCAAGTGCTGTCATCTCTCTGTCCCTCAGTTTTCTCATCTGTACAATGAGCACGGTAATAGGAAGGATCTACATTGTCGAGTTGTTGGCAGGAGTAAGATGCCTATGGCAGACACATGGCCAGCACTCAGTAAGCACAGTGACTGATCATGTTTCTTCACCAGTCTACTTGTCCACCCAGGGCCACACATGATGCCCTGCAGACTCCCAGCAGCATCCGGTCCCCGGTCTGGTCCACACACCCCTCCCCCATGCTCCTATGCAAGTCTCACCTTGGCCCCTGCCCTGCCAGGTCTGCCGTGGCCAATTGAGCTGGTGGAGGTGTTGATCACCATCATGAAGCAACATGAGAGGATCCTTGACATACAGCTCTGTGCCTGCTCCCTGCTGCTGCGCTCCCTGGGCCTAGGTGGGCGCCGGGCAGGGGAGACCCCCTGGGCCAAGGTGGGTGCTGAGCCGGGCATGTGTTAGATGTTCACCTGGCACAGGCCCCGTAGGGTCTTGGAAGCCAGTACTGGCCACACAGTGCTGCTCACCAGCCGTGCAGGCTGGACAGGTCCCCACCCCTTTGGTCCTTCACTTCATCATGCAACCAGCACTTACGGGACGGGCTCTGTGCCAAGAGAACAAGGCCGACCTCAGCTTCCTCCACGCAAAGTGGGGGCGCTGCCTCCCAACCAAGGCGGGAGCACCCCTGCATGCAGTCTTCCCGCCCCAGGGTCCCTAGCTTTGGGGTTAACCACAGGCTTCGTCCATTGGCCCAAGCAGCACTGGCACGGGACCCGGCAGCCGAGGTGCCGAGCGACAGCTCCATCACGTCTGTCCTGCTGAGCATCATGCGCAGCCACCCCAAGGCGGAGCAGCTCCTGCTCATGGTCTACAGCCTGCTCACCATCATCTCCAGCCAGGGTGGGTCTGCCGGCCCCTCCCTCAGGCCGAGGCTGGGGCACACCAGGTGGGTGGGGTAGTGCTGGGCCTTGTTCCTGAGATGGCACAATTGCACTGCCTTCGGTTGGTCTGTTCCACATCTCATCCTTTTTCTTTTCTCTTGATGGAAAGCTTCCATTTTTAGTCACTCTTTCCCTCCACGAATGTGCACAGGTACCAACTAGGTGCCAGGCACCACTGTGGGCTTCATGCCGACGTCTTCTGCCCTGCTTGTCTCCATTTCATAGCTCATCTGGGCTTCTGAGGCGGCCAGGCAGGCAGTGGGTGGCTGGACTGGGGATAGTGTGGAGGAGAGGGTCATTCCTGAGGGCTTTACACACCTTTACGTGCCTTCCAGCCACCCCATCGGGTCGGTACTGTCCTCTCCGAGGGAAGTTGGGGTCTGAGAGAGCCCAAGGACACTCGCATATAGTACGTGGTGGCCGGGGGCTGGACCAGCTCCCTGCTCTTCACTACACTGACCCGATCATTTGCTGCACATCACTGATCCCACTTTTGGGAGTGAAAAGGGGTCCTATGAACAGGCATGTGGGGACAACAGGTGGAAATTCGATCCGCCAGGCAAAGTGGATGTCAGGTCATCCCATCGGGAAACAACAATCGTGGGGCCACCTCGGAAGGCTCAGGCCTGCTGTGTGGCCCCTAGAGGCAGGGCCAGGCCCCTTGGAAGGAAAGCTACAGAGGCCGGTCCCAGCCCAGTAAGGGGATGGGAGATACTGGCGCTGGTGGTCCTGGGGACAGACCACGTCCTCTTGTTTCTGGGTCCCACGCTGGGCATGAAACTGACGCAGGACGCGTGGGACTGCAGTGCCCGAAGACAACGGAGGAGGGTGGCGGCGTTCAGGGAAGGGTCCTGGAGGAGGGGGTCTCCGTGCTCTGAATTCCGGGGGCCACCCACAGAATCAGCCGCAGAGGAGCTGCAGGAGGCTGGGCTGTTTGAGCATATCCTGGAGCATCTGGGCACCCTCCCCAGGAACAGGGACATCTGCATCAATGGCCTGAGCCTGCTCTGGGCCCTGCTGGTGGACGGTGAGAGGCCCCTCCTCCTGCTCTCCGGCAGGGGGCTGCCATCTCTCCCTCCACTGCTCCCTAACCACCTCTGAGAGCCTTCAAGGGCTTCTGTGCCCTGTCCCGCAAACACTTCAGGACAAATCATGCCCCTGAAGGGCTGGAAGCACAGCAAAAGCAAGGAAGGACGAATAGGGCAGAGGTGGGACTTCCTGTCCCAGTGGGTGGGCCCCTCACAGACTCTGGCTCCCACCCATCCTGGGATGTCCCAGGCGGTCCTTGGTTTCAGAAGTTAGCCTTAGCACTGCAGCCTAACCTCATTTTTGATTCAGAAAAGGGGGCCCCCAGGCCGCGCTGCTTCCTCTCCTCCAGGCCCCAGGGTGGCCCTCCAGCGCCTGGGCAGTAGTCTTACCCAGGAAAAGAAGCCTCCAAGCCACGGAGAGCCCTGGGAACCCGAGAGCCCCGCCCACACCCAGAGTGCAAAATCCCCCAAGCCTCCCCTTGGGGGCATGGTGATCCCTACCCTCCAAATACTCCCTGGCGAGTGGGAAAGCCCTCCATCTTCCCATCTCTGAGGACATCTGACCTCTCCCACCACCAATTCTGCTTTATTGTCCTTGGTGGGAGGCACGGGGTGGGGCGCCATGTATTGTCCTTGGTGGGAGGCACGGGGTGGGGCGCCATGTATACAGCAGGCACTTCAGTCTGCACCCAAGGGCTAGATGTCCTCTCCTCCATCCCATCCTGGTTCCAGCTGTCATTGTGAACAAGGCTCCCTTGGAGAAAGCACCAGTCCTCGTTGCTGAGGTGCTAGCCACCTACCCCACAGATGCGGAGATGGCTGAAGCCGGCTGTGCAGTCCTCTGGCTGCTGTCCTTGCTAGGTGAGCAGCCTGGGGCCCCGGGAGCTGGGAGGGGGGACCCCAGACCCAGGAGACAAGAAGGCCTCCATCTGGCCTTCTGCAGGCTGCATAAAGGAGCACCAGTTTGAAGAGGTGGCAGCGCTGTTCCTGCAAAGCATCCGGCTGTGCCAAGACAGAGTCCTGCTGGTGAACAACGCCTACCGGGGCCTGGCCAGCCTGGCAAAGGTGTCTGGTGAGCCTGGGGACGGACTGGGCTGCCACTAGGAGGTGGGGGTAAAACTCAACAATATCTGCCAGCTGCCCACAAACCAAAAACAAGCAAAAAATCAAATAGGAAAAACCCTCTGTAGTCCCAGCATCTACAAGTTGCCATGGAGACTTTATATACTTTTGCATAATGCTATATTGTGACCATCTTTCCCCGTCCATAAACACTATCAGGTCTGCACAGGTTTTCCCACAGGTACAGCCCAGGAGACAGGTCTATCTCCAAATTCCTGCCTCCAACAGACCCTGGCTGTTATCCCGTGTGCTGTCCCTGGCCTTGTGCCTAACTCGCGGCACGGTAACACTTTATGGAGACACTTGGGGCCTGGAGACTGGCCAAAGTCACCAGCTGGTGTGTGGGGTGGCCTGGTCCCAACTCTGTGTTCCAGGGCAGGTGCGTGGGCTGGACAGGGGGGCCCAGGGCCGGCCTGGACGGGAAAGCAAAGATGGCCAGGCCTATCTGCCTCAGCCTGAAGTTGCCTGAGCCTGAAGGGGTGGGGCCAGCTTCACTCCTGGGAAGACCCTGGAGTCTTCCATCTCAGAGACACACCCTGGGCTCCAGGCCTGCCCCACCTTCCAAGGTCCCACCAACAACAGACCTTTGTCAGGGGTCAGCTGCCAACCCTCATGAGGCCCTGAGGGCAAACGGGAAATGGCTCAGCTCCGTGAGCGGAGTCAATGAGAACCCAGTGAACACGACCCCCAGCCAGTCAGGGTGAGAATCGTGGCTTTGCCACCTACTGGCTGTGTGACATTCAAGTCATCTCACTGGAGTGTCAGCTTCCCCTGGGCTCCAGGAGAATCTGAGGAGTAACATCTACACAGCATCACACGTCACTGCTGACGCAGGTGCCCAGCCCCTCAAGCGCCGGGGTCCTAACCCCGCGCAGCCAGGCCTCCTAACCTGGAGCGCCCCCTACACGCACCCTCTGCAGCGTGTTCTGGCGCTTCTGTCACGCCCACAGGCTGAGACCACCGCTCCCGTGGGAGCCTCTTGCTGCCTGGGTGGAGGGAGGTGGGGTGTGTATTCCCACTGGGAGGGAACAAGGCAGTAGATGCTCTCACAGGCCTCACAGCCAGAGAGAAGAAACGCCAACCTCAGATGCCCCCGGGCTGCAGGACACTGGCCTCCTCCGCCAGTGCCGAGGCCCAGGCTGTCCCAAGCACTTTGGCCTCTCAGCAACCCTATGAACTTGGTACTGCCGTCACCCCATTTCCAGAGAACACTGAGGTGTGGGCAGATGCAGGGCACGACCCCACTTTCTCCTGTCCCCCCCTCCCCACCAGAGCTGGTGGCGCTGCAGGTGGTGATGCCCGAGGAGGGCAGCAGTGGCCTCAGCTTCATCAAGGAGACGTACCAGCTCTACAGGGATGACCCAGAGGTGGTGGAGAATGTCTGCATGCTGCTGGGCCACCTTGCTTCCTACAGTGAGAACCCCCTGGAACTTCCTATGCACTTGGCACGAGTGTCTACTCTGTGCCAGGCACTGTGCTGGCTGTGGCTGATGCCTAGCTCCTGAGCCCTGGGGGGCAGCATGCAGCTCATGCTGAGCCTGAGTGGGATGGGGACCCTTGTCCTGCTGGCCTCCTCAGAAATGCCCCAGCCTCAGGACCCTCTGCTCTGCCCACAGAGGAGATCCTGTCCGAGCTGGTGTCCAGCGGCATCCAGCCCCTGGTCCAAGAGATCCACAGGCGCTTCACCTCCAGCCTGGTGAGCGCGCAGGGCCTCCGCAAAGCAGGCCCCACATCCGCCTCCGTAGCCAGACCCAGGTGGCACTGAGTCCGGGACCCGGAGCAAGGTTTATGTGGAACCAACCGGGATCACTGCATGTAGTTTTTAGTGACTCTCTTCCTGTGATCCCATGTCTACACGGGGCTAAAGTAAATCCTATAGGGGAGGAGTAAGCAGACCTCTTCAAAGAAAAGCGGATTAACTCACAAAAACAATTACTCATGGACCCCGAGACTGTCCATGAAAACAGTGACCTACTCTTCTTCTAGGAGCTGGTTTCTTACGCAGAAAAGGTGCTCCAGAGGCTGCAGGAGGCCACGCCTCCCAGCCCCATGGGTGGGCAGTCGGCTTTGCCCTGAGGAGGTAGGCAGCCCAAGGCCTCCCTCCTACTCGCTGCCTTCTTCCCCACCTTCCTTTCCTCCTCAGGGTTGTGGGGTCAGGAAAACTGTCACCCAGGACCAGTGTGTGCATTTTACACTCTTCTTCAGTTCCTGGCAGGGCTGAACCGGCCCAGGGGTAGGGCTGGCCAGTGGCCGATTCTGCAGTCTATACAAACCTCAGCCCTGCCTGGAACAGGTGGCAGCAGTCAGCCACAGCAGTCCTTCTAGACCATTCCAAATGAGGGAAAGAAACAGCCTCTGCAAGCTCCATCTCAAGTAAAAGCCTGCATTTGTGAAATAACATCCGCAGTGGGTTTGGACCTTTTTTGTACCCCCCTCAGGCAGTTCGGTGAAGCCACGGGGTCTGTGCGTTCCACTCAGCGCAGCTGGCTGCCCCCCACCCCGTTCTCGGAAAGACCCTCACCCCTGGGCCCAGCCGCCCACGGGAACCCAGCGGCTTTTCCAGCTCAGTGGCCCAAGGTCAGCATGTCCGTCCTGGACGGGGAGAGGCACCCGTTTCCGGGAATAACATTGTCACCGTGCTCAGGCAGCCTGCGCCTCACATCGCCACGCTGCGGGCTCTGACTTGGGTTTAACTTGGCGGGTGTGGGGAGTGAGGAAGGCACGCCCGCCCTCAGAAAGTCTCTCCAAGTCCAAGGGGGGGCTACAGAAAACTCTTCAGTGAGGCTGCAGCTGGGCTAACCGCAGACACCTGGTCCGGGGCCCCTCCAGTCCAGAAGAGTTCTTTACATCGCTCAAGGCGATGGAGGGAACGAGGCCTCCTTAGAGGAAGCGCTGAAGAGCCAGTGGACAACTGGGTGCTTCCTGCCCTGGGACCCGGTGAACCCCAGCGAAGCCCACCGCCACGTCCACGGTGACAGCGCAGGGCAGGCACAGCCCCGACTCCCCATCTGCACTCCCACTTGAGTCCCGCCACCCCGGACTCCTGGCTGTGCCCAGGACAAACACCCCTGACTCCGCCGGCTGTGTCCCTGCCCACACTGCCCGTCCCCCCTGCGAGTGGGACTAGGTCTTAGATCATAAAATCAGAAGGAAGAAAAAGTTCTTCTCAGCAGCATGCATGCTCCCATGCCCCTGCTGCCATTATTTTGAAAATGTTTCGACAGAGTTGCTGCTCTGGGCAGATTTGGTCACAACTGCCTGTGGACGGAGACACTGCCACAGGGCGGTGGGAGGGACGGCACTAGCAGCTGGGCTCTCACTAGGCGTCGTCACTGCCGGCGTCTGGAGCGATGGCTGCGGGGCGCCTGTCTGGGGCGATGCTCTCCCAGTCCTTCTTCACCATGATGTACAGTCTCATTGCTGCCTGGGCATCCTGAATCTAGGTGACACGGAACACCACCCTGACTGTCCCAGCTGGTGACAAGCATGGCCATGTGCCAGGCAATCCCACAATTACCGAGCCCTAGCGCCAGATGTGGGAGGAGCGAAGCAGAAAACTGAGCAGAGCAGCAGCCAGTGCTGTGATCCTCACTGCACCTCTGTGACTCGGGCCTCCCCTTACGGAGAAGAAAGGAACCCACAGAAGCAAAGGGACAGACATGCTGCCTTGTGAGGGGCACGAGACAGCAAACATCAGGAATGCAGACGGGGGGATGACGGGCTCTGAGCTTCGTGCTCGGGCACAAGACAAAGGGCAAAAAGAGCCTAGGGGGCTGACGGCCACCATGCAGTGGGGGCTGGGTTCCATGGGCCTGCGACCTGGCGCCAACACTCCTCAGCCCCATCACCAGGGCCTGTCGCCGAAGGCCAGGGCCACCACGTCCTAGAGGCCCTTCAGTCTAGACTGGGGACTTCTTCCCAAACATTTACAGTATAGTTTTTTTGTGTTAAGTGTTAATTAGTTAAACATAACCATTTAGAATCTAGTCAACACTGTGTAAGCCTGCTGTGTCATTTCATGTTTTATGGACCAGCAGCCTCTTAGAAAAGAAGTCACTCAGGCTCCACTGTGTTTGCCCTCAGTGACAGTGCCTCGCATGTGACGTCAGGGGTGGCCCCCAATCCCAAGGACTGTCATCCCAGGACAGACTCACCGAGCAATGCTCCGCCTGCTGCACCCTGATCCCCAGGATTTCCTCTGCAAGCAGCTTCAGGGATGGCCTTCCACTCTGCCAGGGGAGAGGGGACAGCACACAGCCGGGCTGGGGCGAGGCCTTTGCAGGCTCTGCGCAAGCGGGGGGTGCTGCCCCAGGCTGGGGGTGTCGCCTACTGAGCCCCAACCCCAGTGACCTGCAGTGTGCCCTCCAGTGGCAGCCCCATGGCAGTGAGGGCTGGCGACACCCTGTTAAGCCCTGGAGGAGGGCCGGGGAAGGAGCCTGCATCTCTGCCTTCCAGCCTCGGCCTCCCTGCTCATTTCAAGAGCGGAGCTTGCCCTCGGCCCCTCTGGATCACAGAGATCAGAGAGTAGACATAACCTGCCCTCAGTCACACTAACTTTTAGGATTGCCATTTAGCAGAACTCTACATTTTCTTTTCAGATTCCCTTTTATTTATTTATTTTTATTTTTTCCCCCAAAGCCCCAGTAGATAGTTGTATGTCATAGCTGCACATCCTTCCAGTTGCTGCATGTGGGATGCAGCCCCAGCATGGCCGGAGAAGCGGTGCGTCAGTGCGCGCCCGGGATCCGAACCCAGGCCGCCAGCAGCGGAGCGTGCACACTTAACCTCTAAGCCGCGGGGCCGGCCCTCCCTTTACTTCTTTTTTTTTTTTTTTGAGGAAGATCGGCCCTGAGCTAACATCCATGCTAATCCTCCTCTTTTTGCTGAGGAAGACCGGCTCTGACCTAACATCTATTGCCAATCCTCCTTTTTTTTTCCCCATAAGCCGCAGTAGATAGTTGCACATCTTTCTAGTTGCTGTATGTGGGACGCGGCCTCAGCATGGCTGGAGAAGCGGTGCGTCGGTGCGCGCCTGGGATCCGAACCTGGGCTGCTAGTAGTGGAGCACGTGCACTCAACCGCTAAGCCACAGGGCCGGCCCCCCTCCCTTTGCTTTTAAAGGTTAAAAAGCAAAGCAAAACAAAACACCTTTCGCCAATAGGTCAGCTACCAGGCACCAGAACCAGCCATCACATGAACCTCACGAAACAGCTACCACATGCGGAACCACATTTATTTTAAATACCTGCACGTGACTCTTGAAAGGTTTGTATTTCTGTGTGTCCCGGATCTTCTTTTTTGGGTGATCTAGAAACAGCACCTAGAAGAAGATATAGTGACGGTCATTTTCATTTCTAGTTTGTAGTGGTAGAAACCCTTGGTATCAAATAACCTCTTACAAAGAATTCCAACGTATAAAACACATGAATAAAAAAAGGTACTGACGTGAGTCTGAACTTCTGAAGGAAAATACCACACTAAAGATGAGCTCAACAGTAAGACCTACACTGATAAAAACACAATCTTGAACCCGGGGAAGTAGGAGACAGTCACCAATTAACCAGCAACCAATTTATCCCATATTTTAAGTTGGTGTCGCACAGAAAGGAAGTCAGGAATGAGAAGAGAATTTAACAGCTCATCTCAGGACCTCAGCACAGTCTTCAGGAGAGGTTTAAGCACGAGTCTGCCCAAGTTACCCGGGATGCAACAGGCATGAGGAGGGAGCACGAGCTAACAGGGTGGCCTGAGGTGAGAACGTTTATGATACAATGCACTTCGGTGGGCAGACTTGTTAGTTTTTAATAGCTCAAAATTTATCTTAAAAGGCAATTAAAGGGGCCGCCCCATGGCTTAGCAGTTAAGTGCGTACGCTCTGCTGCTGCCGGGCTGGGTTCAGATCCCAGGCGCGCACCGACGCACCACTTGTCCGGCCATGCTGAGGCAGCATCCCACATACAGCAACTAGAAGGATATGCAACTATGACATACAACTATCTACTGGGGCTTTGGGGAGAAAAAGGGGAAAAAAGGAGGACTGGCAATAGATGTTAGCTCAGGGCCGGTCTTCCTCAGCAAAAAGAGGAGGATTAGCATGGATGTTAGCTCAGGGCTGATCTTCTTCACAAAAAAGAAAAAAAGGCAATTAAGACCAACATTTAGTGGTCCTTGAAAAATCTAAGGACACTAGGGTTCCATGGAACACTGTTTGAAAAGCCCCCGCCCAGGAAGGATAGTCTCCCATTCTGCCTGCCTCGCGGTTCTCATCAGAACAGGTGGGTCAGGGGCCGGCCCCGTGCTGTAGCGGTTAAGTGCACACACTCTGCTGCTAGCAGCTCGGGTTCAGAGGGTGTGCACCGATGCACCGCTTGTCACACCATACTGTGGCGGCGTCCCACGTAAAGTGGAGGAAGATGGGCACGGATGTTAGCCCAGTGCGAGTTTTCCTCAGCAAAAAGAGGAGGATTGGCATGGATGTTACCTCAGGGCTGTTCTTCCTCACACAAAAAGAATTAATAATAATAATAATAAAAAAAAAGAACAGGTGGGTCAGTTCTGCCCACGCAGAGACCCTAAAAGAGCAGAGGCTGGAGGCCACACCCTTCGGGGCACTGGAAGTGACCCTCGAGCTCTCCCACTGCCCACTGTGCTGGCCATGATGGGCCAGCCTGTGCGAGGGAGACAAGGGGGGCCCTGACTGCCTGCCCAGTGGCCCTGAGGGAATGGCCGCCAGGGAATACTTCCCGACAGAAGGGGCTCTGACCTCAGACGAGCACAGTTCCTGCCCGCCGGGTGAAAGCCACAGAGGCAGTGCCTGGCTTTGTCCATGTGGCTGTGCTAGAGCCGTGGGCACCTGGCATCAGGCCCGGGTGTGCACCAGCTCTGCATGCTGGCACCGTGGCACGTCACCTAACTCACGGAGCCTAAGTTTTACCACCTGTGAACACCTCAGCCCCCTTTAGGGAACTGAATGAGACCTCTGTCGTGTAAGATGCCTAGCATGGCTCCAGAAGGCAGTACCTCACTAAGTGGTACCTGACAGTGTTAGAGAGGATTCCCAACACGGGGCACAAGTTCACTACAACCCCCGCCCCCGCCGTGACGTGCATGTAGATGGCACGAGGGTGGGCAGCAGCCACGGAAGAGCAGTACCTTTAAATCGTTGTGCAGTGCGTGTCCAACCAGAATGCGGCCCTTCAGCATGTCTGCCACCTCCTTCTGAACAACTTCAAATTCCTCTCCTGAAAATCCACACCAAGAAGTGGTTTGTGATGACACGTCAATCACAGTCGTTCTCTGAGAGTGACCTCCCACCTCTGGTCAGACCTGAGACGGGGGGTCAGGTGAGATTCTGATCCGGGAAGGGGCGTCAACTACGCCCAGGCTGCCCCACCCCCAGGGAAAGGCACCAGGCCTAGTGAGGAAGACAGGACAGCGCTGAAAACCACCCCCGGGGGGTGTGACCGTCAGGACTCCGACTATGCTGACTGCTCCGGACCAGAACCGGGAACGAAAGGGAGAACTCGGGCCCAGCTACTGCCTGCCCTCTGTAGCCGTGAGCTGTGCGGGACCCACCCTGCCGGAGGTGCTCGGGCCGTATCCCGCTGACCGCCGTCCTGTAGTCAGTCACCGGCTGGGTGGGCTTGATGTACTTGTCGTAAACACACTTCCCATACTGGTTCACAATGGACACGCGGGCAGCGATGCTCTCCTCCCCATTGGGGCCCACGCCCACCATCTCACAGTCCATGGCTAAGGCTCTCGTCAGGCTGAGGGGAACCAAAGGCTCCAGGTTAATCAACACTGCAGGATCCGGGAATCGGCACCAAAAGCTCCCCGCCCATCACCACATCACGTGACCAAACTCTATGCGGTCTTGGGTCTTACCAGGACACTGGAAGGTGTCTGCCCAATCCAACCTTCCCGAACCCCGGCCCTCTAAGGCTGAACGTGCCCGAAGGCCCACGCCCAGCCCAGCGTACCCGCCGAAGGCCTGCTCCTTCACCAGCGTGACGCTCCTCTCACTCTGTCCCAGCTGTTTTCTTGCGATCTCTGCTGCCTCTGGGCCGATGGCCGCTTCGATATCTGCCGGGTCGACATCATCAAACCAGATGTCTTCCCTAAAAAGCAGAGAGGAGATGGGCTGCACATGCTGCTCAGCGGAGTCTGCTCCTCACAGCAGCCGGGCCCAATGCCCTCCCGCTGGCCCAGCAGCTCCCGCTATTCTCATCGTTTTGGCTCTTTCCTTTCTCATCAGAAAATACGTTCATTACCCAAATTTAGGAACTAGGGATAAACCCAGAGAATATACAATAGAAATATACAGCCCACTACCTGGGTATAAAGACTGCTACTGTTTTCAATTACAAAAGTAACACCTTCACTGTCATACATTTAGGGAACACAGATGAACACAACTGACCACACAACGGAAACACAGAGTGTCGCCCCGAGGGGTAAGGACTGCTGGCCCCTTCCCCTCTAGACCCCCATACTTGGAAGCCCACACAGGGACGTCAATTTCTGCCTGGGGAATTCTGTCTTTCGGGCTCAGCTTCAGTGTCACGTCCTTAGACACCTCTTCCTAAGCCCACTGAACGGACATGCCCCTCCGGCTGTTTGCTCCCAGCCTCACCGGACCCACCATGACCACACTTAGGGAACTACTGAAATCATTTCAGTTTACTGTCCCTCCCCTGTTCGACTACCAGCCTCAAGAGGGAGGGACCCGTTGTAACTGCTCTCTCTCCAGAGTGCGTGCCTGGCACAATGACACACGAGCGGCAAACTGTTCTTCCTGCAACCTTCAGCAACCATGTCCTCAACACCAGGCGACACGCCGCCAGCCTGACTTACAAACACGCCACCTCCAGGTGAGCCATTCAGGGCGGCCACTGACTCCTGGTCCTCCCATGTGAGTGAGCATCACAGGGTTTGTTGAGTAACTGCCAGGCGCTGAGGCAGCACATCCCATCTCACAGACCCCTCACAACACCACAGATGACCACACCGAGGCTCAGGGGATGTCAGGAACTTGCCCCTAACCACCCAACTGGCAAGACGCAGGAATCAGTGTCAAACTCAGGTCTTCCTGGCTTCGGCATCCATCATTCCGAAATCTTTACTGGGGGCCTGCTGAGTGCCACACTGTTCCAGACCCTGCCCGCATCATGCCTACATTCTAGGCAAACAAAGAGCACCAGGGTGAGAGGATGGAGGGGCTGCGGGAGGGGCCACCGGCCTCGGCCTCCTTGAGGAGACAGGCCCTGGTCACTGGGACTTTGTTCTCAGGGACAAGATGACCACCAGCTCGGGCAGACCTCCAGGACTTACTCGGTGGGTGGGGCTGGAGTCAAGGCTGCAGCCGCCTCCTTAGCTTTCCGCTTCTTATGCTTGATGTCCCCTTGAGTTGGAGAAATGTCACCATTTGTCCTTTTCTTGGTCCCTTTCTCACTGTGCTCTGCTCGGCTGGCCTTTGTGGGAGGTGCTGGCACCTTCCTGTTCCTCAGAGATCCTGCAGGAGCAGAGCCCCCGCTGGCTGCATGGTCTGTTTTTTCTGTCCCCATCTCATCTCTCTTAGCTTTACCTGGGCTGCCTTCTCTGTTTTGTTGGATAACTTTGGGCTGCTTTTTGGAATCCATCTGAGAGATAACAAGAGGCTTTTCCAGAGCCTGTGATTTTTGCTTCAGCAGCTATGGGACCCAAAATAAAATAGAGGACACATTTTAATTTGGAAACCATGCACAAGAGATTGAAAAAACTTATATGCATACATATATGTATGTACATACACACACACGTCAATCACAACTACATATACTTCCCACTAGCATCACTGAAATTCATTTTCAAACGGTTTGGAATAGGCCTTTTTCACTGTCACCTGTAAGTCACTTGTGGTGAACGATTTTCTTTGCTTCTTGCATTACAATGCCTAAATTGACACCTGCTCCCTCATTCCTACAAAATTTCAAACTCATGTTCTACTTAAGTACCTGCTGAAAGTCTGAACAGACTACTTCACTCTGAGCCCGGGGCGATGATATGCAACCTGTTTTCACTTTTCTAGGTAATCGAGAGTTCATTCTAGAGTTACTTCCCTCAGAGCTTAGGCCAACAAGCTGGTGCAGAGAAACCACTTCCTTTACAAGATTTCTTGGTTTGCTACTGCTGTGAGGGTCTCAGGAAGAGACAGAGGTGTGTTCAACGGCAAGTTTTTTTCTAGAGGTGGCTGAAGAACTGTCAGCAGCCCTACCTCTGCTGTCACACAAGGAGGACTCTCTGAGGTCTTCCAGCCCAACCTCCTCTGTGCTCACGTCCCCAGCGCGGCTGTTCTCAACCTCAATTAAGAGCTGGGCACGTGGCAACCAGCGGAGAGATGATGAGCTGGGTTTCTAACGACCCGTTCCCGGGATATGCAAAGAACAGAAGGAATTACTTGCTCGTACGAACAAGAGAGAACTCAAGGCTTTCCCCCCAGTAAACATGCTTTCCACTCACTCCATTTTGCTTTACTCTCTTGAGAAAGAGGGAGATTGACAGAAATCACACACAACTCTGGAGTGCCAGGTGTCACCGGGCCCATTTGTCAAGACAGAAGTAGTACGGGGACTCCCCACCCTACGATATCGGGCTGCGTTAAGAGGCTCTTCTCTGTTCTCTTGCTCACCCTGAAGCTCCGTGACAGACTCCAGAAAACGGGAAAAGAGACTTTAAAGGTCAGCAGGAGCAAAGAGCAAAACCTCACGCCTGTGTGACTCTGCACCCCAGTCTGCCGTTTACTGGCTCTGCCACCCCGGGCCAAGTCCCTTAAGCTCCCTGCCTCCATTTCCTCACCCCAAAAACAGCGATAATAAGGACAGCTACCTCCAAGGGAGGGGGGAGAATTTAGAGTGAAGCACCAGGAACAGCACGCAGCAGAGGAACCACTCCCTAGGTACCGGCCACGACGCCCAGAAAGGCAGGTACCACTCGGCATGCAGAGCAGGGACTCGGGCGTCAGACTCCCGGTCCTGCCCACCCGCTGCAATCTTGGGTAATTTATTCAACCTTTGTGGACCGGTGTCCTCGCCCCTAAAACGGAGATGGCAGGGGGGTCTACCTCACAGTGCTGGTAGGGGGGTTAAACAAGAACCCACAGGCAGATCCCAGGGCAGCGTCCGCACGTTTTAAGAGCTGTCACCAACCTTTACCAACGTAAAAACCGTCGGTCCTGCTATTCTCTACCCACGAGTTCGCGACCCCCTCAACAGGCCGCCGGTGCTGCAGGCGGCTCTGTGGACGAGGTTTTCACTCCAGTCCGCCCGCACAGCTCCCTCCGGGCCCCGCGTCTCCCCTTTTGGAGCCGCGGTGACGGGCAGGGCGCGCCCGCGGGCCCAGCCTCACCTCCCGCAGCGCCTTCCAGTTCCGGGAAAACTCTTCCGCAGCCGCGGGAGGCCGCACGACAGCGCCGGCGGCGCCTCCCGGCCTCCCGCTTCCTTCCCGCGCCTTGCCGTTCCGGGATCTCTTCTTGTTCTTCCTCTTCCGAGAGAGCTCCTCA